ATAAAGGCTCACCATCTTGTTGCTTGAATTGAGTGATCTCCGTCTGAAGTCTCAACGTCTGAAGGCTCACCACCTTGTGTATATACATATATCCGTTTATCGTATGTTCCTTGGGAAGTCTGAATATCAAAGTTGATCTTGGGCTATTTCCATCGATTTTGTCTAAGTTGAGAAGGAAAAGATTTTTTGAATCTAGTGTATTCTGTGTGCGACTTTTTATTCCTTATTTTTATTTCTCATAATTTAGGCATAATTGCATATGATTTCCTTCTTGAACATGATCTATTTGAGTCTACAATTTTGTGGAGAATATATGCTCAAATATGAAATCTGATTTCTTTCCTAAATTTTGAAATAATATGAGAGGTTATTTGTGTGAGGAGTATTATTGTGTTTGAATTTGATTTTTGGAGGGATTAGTTGCCGTTTTTATCTCCTAAAACCGCTAAAACTGCTTTATCTCTCTCCCTTGAACCAAGGAAACTGCCTTTTTGCAGTTTTCAATGTCAGAACTTTACATATATCATATCTCTCATCACTTTTTCATTATTACTCAAATTCTCTCCATCTCTCTCTCTCCTTGTCCAATATTCTCCAAATCTTCTGAAACCCTATTTTTCCCAAACTCAATCGCCGTTCTTTCTCCCATGGCTGGAAGCAAGGACAAGTCGAAAAAGCGACTCAAGAAACACAAGGAGAAGAGACTGAAGCGCCGTCGTCTCTCTCTCTCTCTCTGCAAGTTCTGTCCGTGAACCCTCTCCTCCGCCGGCAAAATCCCCATCTCCCGAGTCGCCACCACCTGAGAAGTCTGTTTCCTTGTCTGCAACCTCGTATGGTTCTCTGTCCAACTCCGACAATGCCGAGAAAAATCTTGAGATCTCTCCACTTGCCACAGGCGTACCTGGTTTGTCAGGGTTCGATAACGTTCCAGAGGCTCAGCCTCAGGGGGAGTCGTCTGCTGTTCTCACTTCTGTGAGCAAGTCTGCAACCAAGACAGCGTCCAAGACCTCGACCAAAGCAGCCGAAGAAGAAAAAGAAGACACTGTTGCAACTCTGGTCGAAGTTCATTCTGATCAGCCCACGCCACCATCGAAGATGCCAGTTCGCCGTTCTACTCGCCGTCGTGGTAAAGAATCTATTGATGCACCGCCTGTTCCTCCTGAACCTGAGGACGATGCTTATGACCTTGAGAACACCTTCACAAATCGGTTCTATACAGAGGCTGCTCATGAGCGCTTTGTCAGTTTTGGTTCTTATGGTTTCTGGTCCGAACGTGCTGTGGAAGATGGTAAGTTTGCTGATCTTGGCATTCTTCGTCTGATAGAGTCTGTTGGTTTGTCTAAAACTTTGTCTGATCTTCAGCCCTTCTGTGGGCAAGTTGTCAAAGAATTTTATGCTAACCTCACCCCTGCAGTGTTTGATTCCAATAGTCCTCGTTTTCACAAGCTTTTTCTTCGAAACCGTGTGATTGATGTGTCTCCTACCCTGTTTAATGTTCATCTTGGTTTGCCCTCTCATCTTGATAACTCTTCCCTCTCTGAAGTTGACTTGGATGCTATGACCAAAGTTCTTACTTCTGGTTAGTTGGATACTTGGCCTGGTTCTAATTTGCCTATCAGTTCCCTCTGTTTGGTTGCCAATCTGTTGCATAAGATTGGTGCTGGGAATTGGAATCCAACTTCGAACAAAACTCTTCTCACAGAGTCCCAGAGTAAGGTCATCTATTGGGTTATGATTGGGAAGGTTTTCAGTTTTGGGGATATGCTCTTTGATATTCTTCACACCTTTGTCACTAATATTGAGTCTCGCAAGACCCTTCATTTTCCCTGTCTTATTCGGTCCTTCTTGGCTGCCCACAATTTTTCTGTTAATCCCCGTTACCAAGATTCTCTTGAGAACCCAGGAAAAGCATTCTCTGTGAGTGCTCGTACTCTCAATGAAAAGGGAACCTCCAAGGTCGCAAGAGAACTGACTCCCTCCTTGGTTCCTAAAAACTGGGATGAGTTTGTGGCTCAACAGCTTGGTGAATGGGATGCGATGGCTAAAAAGGTTGCTGCTCAGCAGGCCTATCTCAAACAAGTGCTGCAGGTAGTTAAGGGGACCAAGCACAAGACTGCGGGGACAGGCCCTTCGACATCCCGTAGTTCGAAAAAGGGGGAGAAGGGCAGTGCTGCGAAGGATGTTGGAGGCTCAGATTCTGGGGGAGACAACACTGATTATGCCATTGCGAACTATTATGATGATGATGATGAGTAGTGCTATTTTTCTTCTTTGTGTGTTTTGAGGGATGTAGGGAGGTCTTTATGTAATAAGGAACCTCGTGCTTGTTTGCTTTTGTGATGTGGTGATGTGGTTTTGTTACTTTTTTAAAATATTTTGAATGTAGGTGTTTTGATGTTTTTGATGACTGCTTATTCTACTTATTTTGATTGAATGGATAATTGTTAGATTCATATTGTTAAGTTGTGTAGGCTGCAGGTACTAAGGGGGAGAACTGCAAGCATAATATTTCTGTGTGAACTAACCCTTTAATGTGGTTTGTTATGCTTGTTGTTTTAATTTCAGGAGACCTTCATGTCTATTGTTTTCGAACTAGATGCCAAAGGGGGAGATTGAAAGATATTTTTATTTTGGCATTAGTTCGTTAGTTCGAACAAGCACCTGGAACCACAGAAAAAGGGAAGATCTTGAATTATTTTACTTTCTTAATTAAGTTTATTTTATACTAGTGTGGTACCCGTGCGATGCACGAGCTAGTTTTCTTACGGTAAGCAGTTAAATTTGGATGATTGGAAAAACGTAAAATACATATATTGAAATGAAACACAATGTAACGTTATATATTATTAAACACATCATTGTACTCAAAATTATTTGTTTGGTCTTTTGGTACATCGTCTATTGCCATAAATTATATTAAGATTGTAGATAGTCTTAAATAAATAGATTAAATTGTTTAGCAGAATATATACGATATTTTGTAAGTGTATGAAATAATTATTTATTTTGTAAGTTTATTCAATCAATTTCAAATTTGTATTCTAGATAATTAAACAAAACCCAAATTTTTAGGATGTTCCAATCCGATTTCATTTTGAATTTCAAATTAATATTATATGACTTTGTTTTATGTTTAAAAACGTCCGAATTAAAGAAAGTAGTAATCAAATGATAAAAGATTTTTAATTTTTAGTTTGAAATTTGGCCCGATTTTTATGTAATCTGATTTTTTTTTAATAAACATGATTTGCTACAATTAGGTAAAGATACATGTTATAGTGTTTTGTATAATTCAAAATTCTCGATTGTAAGGTAAACATATTTTTTAATAAAAAATAAAAAAATTGACTTTTACAAAATTGTCATGCCGACTATGCAATCCGATTTTTATAATAAATAATTGATTTGTTGCAATTAGTAAAATATATATGATAGTATTTTGCCTCATTCGAAATTCTTGATTTTATTTTAATCAGTTTTTTAATAAAAATAGAGAAAGAAAATTAACTTTTGCATCAGTCGAAATTTACCTAAATTAAATCCACAAAATATATAAATTTTGGGTGCATATTTAAAAAAATAAAATTGTTGTACCATTTCAAGATTAAATCAACTGTAATTAGTTTTAATAAAAATATAATAGTTTCCAAACAAAACACTTTAGTTAGCCAAAAAATTATGGTATGTAATATTGTTTCTTTATGATAACACGATTTTTTGAAAGAAAAGTAACAAATACCATAATTTTAGGATAGCGTTTAATGCTGATTTTTTTTAGAAAAAAAAAATAAAAAAAGAAATTAATAAGTATGGAATGTAATTAATGCTAATTGAGATTTGACCAGAATTTGACCTACTATTTTTAAAAAATGGTAATTCTTTTTATATATATATAGATTCCATATATAAGATATTATGGGTCTTATTATGGTATTTTATCTTGTAGAAAATCGGACGTGAAGGAGATAAAAAGAGAAGAGGCGTGTATAATGAGGAGATCTAGGAGAGAGAATAGAAGATTCACTTACCTAAGATAAGCTATAACTTTGGAAAGAAATCAAGCTTAAGAGTCCTATGCCTTGAAGAAGACTCCAACCCTAAGGAGTGTGTATAAATACCCTAGAGGAAGCTCTTATTGCGGCTGCTGAGTTTGGAGATATTTTTAGAGCAATATTTGAGCTTCGCATTTTCTATCTTTTTATTCTATTCAGTTGTACACAGTTCAGTACGAGAGTTCTTACAAACTCAAGGACTGAAGTTGTTTTTTGTTTTGATTTCGTTGTTTCATCAAACTATATTTTACTTTTACACTTAGGGAGTAAGTGTAGGATAAAAAGTCCACGGGACGTGGCCGGAGAAATAGTTGATAGGATCTGAGTAGTGTTGGCTAGGTTTGAAGGGAGTTCGAGTCTTTGTAAGTCCAAGCTATGTTCATATTTGATCTATCAATGAAAGAGCTCTGAGGAGAAGTGGGATACTTCCCTGAAGAGTTTTGTAAACCTTCGGTTTTTTGCTTCCGCATTCATAAGTTCTTTATTTGGTTCGTACTATAAATAGCGCGCTCCATGATATTATACGTTTCATAGAAGTAAGAGGGTGTTTGTAACTTTGTATACAAAACATTCGTGTTAAAGTCGATGTGATTTTTAAAAATTAATTTATTAATATTATTTAATTATATTGATAATATTTAGAATTCGTTGTAAATAATTAAAGTTATTCAAAATAGATACACAGTGTTGTCCTTTTATTCTCTCTGGACCTCGCATTTGCATTTGGCCCAAGTTAGCTGCGAGCCAGCCCGTCCGTTGGCCCTGTTTTAATCGAATTCCTCGTTAAGCCCACTGACGATACGTCGTCGTCTTGCTGCATCATCCCGTCACTCTCTTTGCTAGGGTTTTAGTTTGAATTTTTCTGTTCAAAACTGCTTCCCAAATTCATTCTTCCTCTCTTAACCAGATCAGTAAGAGTAACGTATCGATCATGTCGATGAAGAGTTCAGAAGAAATCTCGAGCAGCAATAAAAACCCTAAAATCACCTGGGAAGGCTGCAGTGTGCTGCTGGACATTAACGATGGCGATCGGCTGCTTTTTGCTCGCCTGACAGCTGGCTCGTAATCACCTTACACATTCACGTTATTTTGCTCGTTCATGGTTTGTAACACATATAGCAATTTTCGAGTTCATTTTGTTAGTTACTCCAAAATTTCTTGTTTGTTTTTTTTAGGAAAATTAAGATTGGGAACAAGAATTACTCTCTACAGCCTTTGATTGGATGCCGGTTCGGGTCAACGTTCCAGGTGGAGGTTGGAGAGGGTGGCCCCTTTCTCTCTCGGGTTGTTCCGTCGGCAGAAGGTTTGTGATATCTTTTGGTAGCTTTGAATTTGGTTAGATAGGAAAATAGAAGAAAGAAGTGTTAGTTTCGACTTTCGTCAACTTGTTTCAAGTTCTTAATTCATAATAGAAAATGCAGACGATACGTTGCACAATGCAAATTAGGGTGCGAAAGTCATCAGTATTTCATATTTTTGTTGTACTCTTGTAGATTGGTTCTTTGTTGTTTATCTGCATGCATCAGAAATTCCAAACTGGAGCAAGTACTTATTTATTTAATGATAACCGAGACTCAACTCGGTTATCAAACTGACAATATTTTAATATTATTGGCTAGATAAACTTGATTTTTATTTGAATTCGATCACCATGGTGCATTATTCAAATAAATTAGTTATACCATAAAACTGTAGTGATATCTATAAAAGAAACGATATTGATCAGAAACATAATAAATATGGAGTTTTTAGCGTTTAAGTTTTGACATGTCTTGCTTATTAATTTTTTGTATAGTTTATTTATTTTTTTATATATTTATTTTTCTCTTAGATCCACTGTCCAGTTCCATCAGTTAAATGGCAGATAGCAGCTTGACTTCTTTTATTGTCTCATGAGGTTGGTTCAAACAAGTTAAACTCATGAACTTATCAGGCATGGATCCAAGTCCATCAATATTGCTTTAGTTGGGTCGCAAATTGACACCCATTGAGCGAATAGGAACTAAGAAAATTCTGTACTGTCAATTGGATATCCTATATAAGCTTGCGTCTACGGATATTCCTAGATGTTAGGGTATGAATTAGTTTCAAGCTTTTTAGTCAAATTAACTGGAGGCCAATATTTATTATATTGGTTGATCGTAGTGCCTGATTCTTGTGAATTGAAACAATGAAAGGTCAAACTAATTCAAAGGTGAGAATCAAGCTATATGAAAAGTAGTAGTGTTCTCGCATTGTGTACTTATGCACTTGTTTAATTTGAAACGTTGCATTTCATCCAATAAGATGCCACTTAGTTGTTTAAGCACTTTGTGTGCATATTTGTTATGCTAATGTATTTTTGGAACTTCTCTTACCAGTTAATAATCGTGAAGAGAAAACGGATTGCCAAATTATGGAGGAGTGCCGAGATAATCGTGCATTAGTTGATAATAACACCGCCCAGAGTCTCACGGGTGAAGACATAGATGACATGCGCAGGTAAGGTTATTATTGTCTAAGTTACAATTATACATTGGGTATCTAATATATATGTTCTTCGCAACTCGAATATGGGTCTTTGTAATGCCTATGTGTCTTCTCTTTGAGTAATTTTATGCACATGAATGTTACTGCTAAAAATTGTTCAGCTTATGTTTTATGTTGCTGTATTCTTCTAGTTAATGAAGACGAAGCAGTGTGGTGTGGGGTTAGTTGAGTAAAAAAATGATCTATAGGTGATGAAGCACTTGATCAAGCACTTCTTTCAGTTTTGGGAAGCTTGGCTAAAAGGATATAATTTTGCATTTGTACGAGTATTTTTCGTTTTGGTCATTTAGTCCAAATTAAAGACAACTCAAAATTGCAGCTGATATTATAAGGTGTGGATTAAATAAGCAGTTACGAATTGAATATGATCAGATGAGGATTTGGGGATATCTAGTGATAACTTTAGGGTCTAAGTATAGTAAGTATAATTAGGGGTGGGAAGGACTATATATCAATGACTTATTCCTTTTGGAGTTAGCGGCGAATAATTTTGTAGGAATTGGACTAAATGGTAATTGTTCCTTTGTTTATTTCCATGATGCTTCCAATCATCAATCGTTTTTACCTCATACAACAGCACATTTTGTGAATATCCATTGTGTTTGACAGTTCATTTATATTTGCAGAAAGGGAGCAACTGGAGATGAAATAGTTGAGGCCCTTATTGCAAACAGTGCAACGTTTGAAAAGAAAACAGCATTTTCACAGGTACACGAGTCAATGTAATGACTTATTTTAATTAAGAATGACAGACTCGTGAGGATAAAAACTGAATATCTTTATGTTTGTAGGAGAAGTACAGGATAAAAAAGCAGAAAAAATATGCTCCAAGAGTACTTGTGAGACGCCCGTTTGCGCGAAGGTTCTCTCTTAGTCTCTTACCTTCTTTGATTGGGATCATATTTCTTAGTATAATCTTAATAGAAAAATATATCATTAGAATTGAGTCAAAAACATTGTTTGATTTGGTTCTATATTATGAAAAATTTGTACTTGTTTTACTTATATATATTATGAAATTACTGGAATCGATTATGCCAAACACAATTTTGATTTATTGTTACTTTTCTAACTTCAGTTTTCCGACATTCCAAATTTACTAGTCTACTTCCCTTGGAACTTCTAATCCACTTTTTCAATCAAGCATTTTGGATTAGACCTATGATATGGGTGGGACTGGATAATCATTTCCACTTAACTATGGTCCACATCCCAATTTTAATTGTTTAAACTCGTGCATTTGAAATAGAAAATTTTATATTTCGTTTTATAATAGTATTGATGAATATTAAGATCCTTTGACTAACGTTTTTGGTCTTTTCTTTTCAGTATATGTGAAGCATACTTCAAAAAACACGCTGACAAAATTGGGTAAGTATCTAGTCTCTTTTCATAGATGGATTACTGTGTTCTCCTCCATTATGTAAATATATGCGATCTTTGCATGAGTAACCCAAATGCATCTCTCTCTCTCTCTCTCTCTCTCTCACTCTTTCTCTCTCTCTCTCTCTCTTTCTCTCTCTTTTTGCAGGTTTTTGCGGGTGGACACACTTTCTCTTATGCTCTCCTTGGCTAACATTACTGCGTATTCGGATGTACTTGTATTGGATATGCTCGATGGTTTAGTTACGGGTGCTGTAGCTGAGCGCTTGGGAGGTATATATTTTTTATATTATACGTGAAAACTGTTTAAGATGTAGAAACAGTGTTGTCAGTTTGTTTAACATTTTTAGAGGTAAAAATGGAGCGTGATCAACCATCTTCAAAAGTGTATGAGAGAAAAATTGGTTAAAGTTAACGATATGCATTCACATGTCTACTATACGCTTGTGTTGCCATGTCATGCGAATTGAACTTTTCGCAACATTCTTTGACTTGATTAACTTATTGCTAAGTTAAACCTTTGTTCTTATCCCAGGAACGGGCTACATATGTAATACATTTTGCGGATCCACTCCGTATCCTATTAGTATTGTGCGAATGTTCAATTTCAGTGACGAAACATGCAAAAGGTCTTTTTTTTTTCTTTTTTGTTTTTTCATTTTGAGAAAAGGCAAATATTCTAATACTAGTCAGTTCATTGAAGTAAACATATGCTCTGATGATTTGTAAACTCAGGATTGTACATGCATCGCTGGCTGAATTAAAATCGGCACAGAGTGACTCGTCAGCACCCATTCACCAGCTTGAAGATGCCAATAATATTGGAAAACAAGAAAATGTGTGTGGATTTGTTATCATTTATTTTTGTTTCATTGTTTTAGTTTGCACTCTTATTTTTCCTGTCACTTTCAGAAAGAAGTTCTTATGGACGAAGATAACAACGTGAACATCGATACAACGAATGATGTAATTGCTTCCCCAAAACCCACTAAAAGTATCAAGGCTGGTGAGAAAGCAACCGTTGATGCTATAAATTCTTGGAAAGAAAATGGCTTTTCCAGGTGATCACTTTTCATTCAGCCCTGAATTATATTAATATATTTTGCAATAATGTTGGAAGTCGAATATTCTAACTTCTGTATCCTTTTTTTTTTTCAGTTTAATAATTGCCGCTCCAGATCTGGATGCTTGGGACATTGTTAAAGAACTTGTCCCGTTACTTGCATACTCGGCTCCATTTGTGATCTATCATCAGTATTTGCAGGTATTACTTTGCATTTAATTTGGCCTCAACTTTTAATTCAGATCTCAAGACTTTTATTTTTCAACTTGATGCCCGACACAAAAACAATAAATGTTGAGCAGAGTTTTGCGTAGCTAGTGATTAACGGGGTCCATTTAATCCTTATATATCTATTAACTAAAAGAAAAATGAAAATGTTTTATTGTTCCATTTCTGCTGCAGCCCCTGGTCTCGTGCATGCACAACCTGCAGACTGAGAAAATGGCAATTGGCCTGCAAATTTCGGAACCTTGGCTACGCGAATATCAGGTTTTGCTCCACCCTTTTAATTTTCTGAAAAGAATGGCTCCTTATTTTTTCAGTTAGTGTTTTAGTAAAATATCGGATTTAACTTGCAGGTTCTTCCATCAAGAACTCATCCACATATGCAAATGAGCACATCCGGAGGCTATATATTAAACGGCACCCGAATTACTGGTACCGATGAAGCCCGAGTCGACTAGATTTTTTTTTTTTTTTAAAGCTATATTGAAGTTTGATTGAATGCATTTTATCATTCTTTCAGCTTGACATGTCTAATAATCCGATTTTGTTTGGGGTGTAGTCTTTCTTACATTCAGATATTAGCAAGTGCTTATGTTGTATTTTACTTGGGAAAAATTTACCAAAAAATAACTTTGGAATAGGATTTCTGGTTATTAAACACGTTAGTTTATCATTTGTAGGTAGATTTTCATTAAATTTGGTTAGTCACCGTTGGTTTACTTATTGAGTATGATGATAGTTTGTCTAATAGTTATATAGCAATAATTTTTGTTTGAAAAATTCTTGTGTAAGGTATCTTAATGCCTATGCAGGTTGACCAGTTATATTATGTTAATAAAAATGTATACTTATACTTTTTAATGTTATATATGTTCGTTTTTTAAAGTATGACATTTTTCTGATAAGACGTGAATATTTGTGAAAAGAGTATGTCAGTCTAATGGTTAGACTAGTCGATCAGAAGATTCAGAACACTATCTTTTTTATTTCTTCTATATCAAACTTTTGTGGCTGAACGTTTAGATAACCATAATTTAGTGCAAAAAAAAGCCATTACTATACGTCTATACCCATTAAATATTATATTATATTATACTACCTCCTATTCTTTTTAAATGTCGTTTTGACTTTTTTGATTCATCTATTTTGTTATGTATCTAGACATATTAATGTCTAGATACATAACAAAATGGATGAATCAAAAAAGTCAAAACGACATTTATAATGAATAGGAGGGAGCATTACCGGAAAAATTTTACGGCCCCGTCGGAATTTGTAACCGTTCGATTATCATGTAATCGTTGGGGATAATTGATCTAACGATTACAAACCTCGACAAAATGATTCTGTAACGGAATCGTAGCATCTCCACGATTTTATTCCAATTTCAATTCACCAACCTCCTTTTGACTTTTCACATCGTTTGAATTGATTTCATCCTCCCTCGTTACGATTACTTCACATTTCCAACAAGACAATTGAAATTGATATTCCTTTTGTTCACTTTCTTAAATACTCATTAAAGCCCGTTTACGGAAAGGCGGGGGCCCGTTGATAATAGCCCAATACTTTATTAACCCAATAGGCCCCACGCCAGCGGCCCAGAAAAACACTGTACATTTTAACGAAAATTGAAAAAAAAGAAAAAAAAAGAAGGCGGCGTGAAAGGGCGGGCCGCGCCGATTCGAACTCGCCGCCTCCACCTCTCCCGCTGTTTTCAATTTCTGTGTTCTAACAAAACCCCACAAAAAACCTCAACCTTCTCAATTAAAGTTTTTTCATTTTTTTTTTCCCTCGTTGTCCCGTGATTTTCTTTGGATTCGTCTGTTGCGTGTGCGTTTTGAGGTGGAAATTGACACTGATGCTATGTCGGCTTCCGGGGAGAATCTGGACCTGAATTTGAGCCTGAATCTGGCCGTTTCCAGAATGCATCTGGAGAGTCAGTCTCAGTCTCGCTCGCCGGCGGCCCTCAGCCGTCGTGGGATTTTTCCGCCGCCGTCTGTCCCGAGCAGCTCGTGCAAATTCGATCCCGGCTGTAGCAATGGCGCTGGCGGCAGTCAGCCGCGCAAGCCGCTGCCGGAGCCTCAGTGGGCGACTCAAAATCACGCGGTGCGTACCTCTGTGTATATTTAAGGTTGATTTTCTGACTGAAGAATTTGGTTATTGGGTTATGGTCTGTACGATATTGAATTGAGGTTTTCCGCATATAAAGTTTCAAAGCTGAACCATTCTTTAATAATTAAGGTGAGCGTGTTTGATTATTTTTCAATATCTGAATTTCAATCCACTTTTTTATTTTTAATTCGAAAATTTCAGCCATTGGTGAAGCGGGTTTGGTTCTTTATATATTAGTAGTTGAAGGAGAAAAAGGTAGATTACAACGTTACCTTTAAAAACATTTTCGTTAGTTTCTCCTCCCTCGTTCCATTGCCTTTCGTTTTCATTTTTCCTCGGGATTTACATTATTACTACACGAGTGAATTATATTCGCGCAACCGATTAATTTCTAGAAGTGTTTAGCATAAATGTGTCTAGAAGAGTGAATTATATTCGCGCAACCGATTAAGGTCTCGAAGAGTGTTTACTACTAATGTGATTGAATATTTCTTTTCATAGTAATGGCTATCAAAGTTGTTGACTGTTGAGATTTCAAATTTGTGAGTTGCAGTGTTGCACTATGAAATGAAAGTGTTAGCATGTGAACAATTTGTACTACAGGTGACCTGGCTTAATGATCTTTAAGCCTTTCATTTTCACTTACTGAAATTTACTTGGTGTGGTCCCAAACATATTTATTCGAACCATATTTAAAGTAGAAATAAATGTTTGAACCAGCTGCAAGTTAGAGTTTTCTAACTGTATATTAATGCTATATGGGACATCTAATATATGTTTGATTATTTTCTTCTAGTGTTCACAAGATTTGTTCCGTAGAATCCACAAAAAAGTCGATGAATGTGTCTCCCTCATTCAGAACAAAGTGAAGTTGCAGAAACTTTTCACTAAATGGACTTTCTTTTATACTCACTCCTATTGAATATAGAAGTCATATTGCAAGGTCTAGTTTTTGGAAATATATTGGTGATGCTGGACAATTTTGTACACATTAGTGACTAGCCCAATAGACCAATAACCCGACAAAATCGCGATTAAATACTTTTATTTCTCCGAATACTATTTATGCGTTTAATTATGGGTATCTTGGGATTCTTGTATGTTCATTTAATATATGGTATCTTGGGATTCTTGTATGTTCATTTAATATATGTGAATTTCTCCAAATCTTTATTTATATTGAACTAGAGGTAGTATATTGGGATGTACTATAACTTCCAAATTTATCAAATTTAGAATGCCGTTTATGCATATATATTAATGAGAGTGACAATTTAGTGTGATAAAAATCTATTGGTTACTACATTAGGGAGTACATTTTGCCCTCAATAATTTAGGGTTTGAATGCTACCTCCAAAGAGCTACTAGAAAAGTTCTTGACAGTTTTATGCGTGTCACAGGAGTGTAATTCCACTGACTCTTTCTAAACCTGTTTATAGCTTAAGCTTCCTGGGTTAGTTTCATGTAATATATGTCTTTCTACAATTATATTGTTTCAATATGAAACTTTTTATTATTCTTAAACAGCCAAATGTTGAGGTTAAGGTCCGTGGAAATGCAATTCCCGACGTTCCTATACAACCGAATGCACTGAACAATCTTTCTATGGGATTTCAATCTTGCATGGGAAGTAGACGTGTCACTAAACCTAAGTCAGGTAAAGTAAGCTTGTTCCAAGCTGTTTGTATGATTGATCATAGATTAAATTGATTTATTTATTTATTTTTCTTCTTTCCTTTTTACCTCAATATTTTCTATTTCTCTTTTACTGCAGAACAAGTTGATAACTTTAGTCTAGCTGCCTGTCGGTATGACAGCTCTTTAGGTGAGCCTTCTTTTAAAATGCATTGTTTTACATCACACTAATGCTGTGATTTGTGAAATAAAACTGCGGCAATTAGATTAAGGAAGTGATTAATGATGAGATCTCCCTCTTCTTTCTTTCCTTTTTTTGTTCTTTTTTTTTTCTGCAGGCTTGTTGACAAAGAAATTTATCAGACTAATACAGGAAGCTAAGGATGGAACGCTTGATCTAAACAGAACAGTGGATGTTTTGGAGGTGTGTGTTTATTTACACCTATGCTAATGGGCCAGAATTTACACAAATCGGTTTTAGGTATACAGCAGTGAAATAATACATAGAGAAAGAAAAAACTAGTGATATTTTCTTTCTTTTCAATGCTCTACAGGTCCAGAAGAGGAGAATTTATGACATTACAAATGTTCTCGAAGGAATCGGTTTGATAGAAAAGACGGCTAAGAATCACATACGTTGGAAGTATGTTAACTGTCCTCTTTGTGCTTGTATCTTTATCATCGAGCTGTTTTTTATTTTCAATCCATGGTGTTGAATTGTGACAGGGGATATGGGACACAAAATGAGCTGAATGATCAAGTCTCTCACTTGAAGGTGCACTTTTAGTACTTCAACCGGTGGCATTTTTTCTTATGTGTGTGTGTGTATTTTATTTTAATCTTGCGCTTAATTACATTATGTACTGGATAGGCATACTGTGATGTGATGATATTTAATAATTTGGATCGTATTGCAGTTCATCTATTTTCTCTACCAGGCTTGTTCTTGTCAAACTCTTTATTAATCAATTTACCACATTCTGGCCACACAATTGGCATTTTTAAGTTAGTGAAAGATATGAATACTAACTTAAAAATAATCGAAATAGTGAATGCAGAGATGAAAATCACTTTGGATTTGGGACTGGGAGTTTAAACTCTATTTTATGTTTAACGGTTTACATGAAAAGGACATGGTATGAATTTTTTCCTCTACCTGAATTTAGTAACATATTTTCTTCCTATCTTGACAGGCTGAGATTGAACATTTATCCGAAGAAGATCGCAGGCTTGATAATTGCATAAGGTCTGACTAAAAAAAGAAATTATTGTAGGAACAGATTTCTCACAATTGAATAGATTAAGTTGATTTGCTGACAATTGATCTGTCACTCAGGGATAAACTGGAGAGCTTAAGGGAACTGATGTTAAACCATGATTGTCAGAAGTATGGAGCTTATTTATTTATCCATGATAATATTTTTCATTTTCTGTTTATTAATGGGAGGTTTGATTTCTAACTATAATAAACTTGGAGTCCTGCAGAAACCTTTTCTTGACCGAGGAAGATATAATGAGCCTTCCACAACTCAAGGTTTGCAATATAAGTACAAAAGCTACCCTTCTTTGCAAAGAAAAAAAAAAGTTTTAAAATTACAAAGATTCCCTCGAGACATTGCCGATGCTACCATTAATATTTATGTTTATTTTGACGAGTGAGGCAAGTACAGTTTGTAGAATTGAAAATATGTTTATTTTCACAGAACCAAACTGTCATTGCAATCGAAGCTCCTCGTGCAAGCTTTATTGAAGTGCCGGATCCTGATTCGGTTGGTATTTTTGTTAAATCCATGCTATAAATTCAGTGACATTTTGATTTTTCTTATTTTGTATATTATATGCCCACAGGACATTGGCTTTAGTCAGAAGCAGTATAGACTTATTGTAAGAAGCACCACTGGACCAATCGGTGTATATCTTCTGAGGTAATGCATTGCAAGTTATGATTTTGTAGCTCGAAAAAGTAAATAAAAATAATAATTAAACAAAATAAATTTTCTCGAAGTATTCTATTAATGTACCACATTATGCATAAGGAAAATTCGTACCGGATCAATATTCGTGTAAACCTCTGGCAACCAAAATATTAAAAAAAATATATATACATATATCAGCAAAAATGAAAAGAAAAGCAAGGACATATCCATCAAGCGAACAAAACTATTGGACTCGATGGAATTGGCCGATAGCAGTAAGGTTGATGGTGAGGATCATTCTCCGAGTCCCGATACTTTAACAAACTCAGACTCATATGGACCCCAAAAAATAGTCCCGATGGATATTGGCGTAAGTTCTATTTCAGGCTTTGGTTGGCGATATTTTTTCGTTTTCTTTGTTACGAATGCTCGTTTTTCTTAACTATCGAGTTTCTTCGGTTATTTGCAGGTCGACGATGATTACTGGTTGAGGTCAGATCACGAGGTGCGTACGTCAGATTTGTGGAGTTGAAAGAAAACGAGTCGAGATTTCTAATGTCTAACCTACATCAGAGGGAAAATACAAGAACAAAGCTACTACTATTGGACTTTGTATATATTTTTCTTGATAATATGTTTTTGATCCTCTGAGGAAAATGAATTTTGATGAAAGCTGGATAGATATAGACATGTGTTGTGAAAAATCCTTGGTGGTTAAGTAGAATCATAAGGGTTCTCAATTAAACAAATTATGGGTTTCTTTCTAAGTTGACAATAATAAGGAAGTTTACTGATGGAGCTTTTTTTTTTTTTTTTTTTTTTTTTAAATAGGTTTCCTCCTTAGATTTGGGAACTAAAAACGTATACTTTTAAATGGAAACTATTATTATTATTATCATCATTATTATCTAATTTGGAACCTTAAATTTTGGTAAGAACAACATTGTAAGTAGAGGTGGCCAAATGCGCTTCCGGCCGCGATTTTGAAGGCCCTGAAGCAATCTCAAAACATATACGGGCCGGTTAGGTAAACCGGTTGGTCCATGCCGATTCATTAAAAATAAAATAAAATAAAAAGTAATAAAACAAAT